CCCCCCCCCCCCCCCCCCTGAGGACATTCATACATTTCGTTATTCATTCTCTACGCTTCTCTTTCGTGAATGTTTCAATTCTATGTATTGATAAACAAACTTCTTTTTTCATTAATTTCACCAGGTCACGTTCATATCGCGGTGACTCGAATTTCAATGCGCTCCTCACGCCGCTCACCTTCCTTGTCACCTACTTCAATTCGGGCATTAATCCGCTGCTGTACGCTTTCCTAAGTCGTAACTTTCGCAAAGGCATGAAGGAGTTGTTGCTGTGCACATGGAAGAAAGGCAAAGGCAAGTCATCATCGAACTCATCGATGCATCACAAAAGAGTGGCATTACAGGTAGTTGGTATAAAATCGGAATTTGTGAAAACAAAAAACAACGAAATGTCTCCAAAATAAATAAAGATAAAGAGCATAGAAACATTTAGTAAATGAAATTAAATTTTAAAAAGAAGGATAAAAAACTTAAAAAAAAAGTGAAACATTTGCATTGAAACGTATTGGCACGAAATGCAAATATGAAAAAAAAAAATTGGCAGCTGTAAGCAAAATTGTGGCTAGCACTGGGCTTTTATATTTCAGAAACATCCTACTTATACCACATACAAACATACATAAAAATATTCCTTTCTATACAAAATCTTNTTTATATTTCAGAAACATCCTACTTATGTATACCACATACAAACATACATAAAAATATTCCTTTCTATACAAAATCTTCTAGACGCATTCGTTACCAACTGACACAACGCATATCGGCAACGAACAACTATGATGACCCATTCATCGCATCCGCATCCACCGGCGAATTGCTGGCCAACGTTCATAAGCATGCAGCAGTGTTCGATTTGGCCGTTTACCAGCTGCGCTTTGTAGATGTCTGGGAAATACCGAATGTATGTACATATGTATACAAGTATACTTACACGCATAGTATATGTCGTAGCAAATAGTATTTTGGCTCAGCAGTTAAATGGACTACATTAAAATAGAGAAAGAATTTCAAGTGAAAATCAAACAAAGAATTGCTGTGGCATAGCTGTCGGTAATTATTATAGAAAATTAGAATTTAAGCAACATTTTATCGTTGTGATGTTTTTAAGCTTCAAATCTGATTAGTGAAGTAAATTTTGTTAAGGCTTAAATATTAATTATGTATGTATGTATGTACTTATACCAGAAATTTGTTTATAAAAATATATTTGTATGCATTCAAATCTAGTCAGCCACTTTTTGCTGTACATATGCTTAGCTATCCAGTTTTTAATAAACATATTCAGTAAGATATATGTATATGTACAGGTCAAGCAACTTAGAAGGACTGTTAAGAAATTTATTTGAATTGAAAAAATCGTTTCGTACATCGTCTGAGAGCTTAACTTCTAAAAAATTATAAAAATTTTCAAACTTTTCTGTCTTTAGTTTTGGTTCAACAAACCCCAAAAAAAAAAGTAAAAATTAACGAAGCACTGTTTTCTAAAAACAAAAGAGAAAATTTAAATTTACTTGGGAATTTCTCAAAAGCTTAAAAAGTCAAAATCAAAAATATATTTTATAGAAATTTTAATAGTTTTGTAAGAATTAAAAAAAAAATTATAGTTTCTGTTAAATATTTTGCATATTTAAATTTTTAATTTTTTTTTTTTATAAATCTCCCCATGTTTGGTAAAAAATGAAATTAGAATATGTAACAGCATTGAATGTACCCAATTTTGATGCGAGTTGCCGCCAAATTAACAGGAGTATTTTTAGGTCCCGTTTAATTAAATGTTTAACGATTATATTAAAATTTTTTCCTAATTTATGTGCTGATCTTAAAATATGTACATACATATGTACATAGAAAAGTTGAGATAGGTCGTTAAATTTTAGTTATGTATTTGCAAAAAGGAAACAATTTGATGAAAAGTTCTAATTTTATAAAAAAAAAAAATATTTTTTATCAAAAAATATAAAAGCCATAAACATCTTGATTTTTTTTTGGGGCAAGAATCAATTTAATGTTAAAAACTAAATTTAAAAATTTTAGTGGAATATATTTTACAGAATACTTATTTTTTTTTAATACGTATGTACTTATTGACACAGGTCGATAAATTGTATTTATTTATTTGCAAAAAAGGTAAAAATTTAATTTAAAAGTCAAAAAATTTTATAAAAAAGAAATTGTTTTTAATCAATAAAATATAAAATCCATAAACATCTTGAATTTTTTAGGATCAAGAATCACTTTAATACTAAAAACTAAATCTATAAATTTCAGTGTAATATATTTTAGAGAATTTCAGAGGCCAAGCTCGGCGCAGAGCGAGGTTTACTTTTACCTGCGAAATATTCTAGATTTTTAATTCCTGCAATCGAAAAACATATGAAAATATTAATACGCTAAAACCTAGCAGTTTTGCGAATTATTTTCGTTTCTTCTAATTTTCTTTTCGCAAGAAATTCTTCTAAAGACATCAGCCCACCCCATGCCCATGACTACTTCGTTTAACATTAAAATTAAAGAAATTATTTTTTAAGGCGCTGGTTGGCAGTTTCAATACATTTTTTACATTTAATTACTTATTTAGTGTTCTAATGTAAACTGCTGAAAGAAAGTTATAGTTTTAAAAATCTATGTAATTGTGTCACCGGTTTCGAGAATAGAAACCTTTAATCGGTTTTTCGTTAAGTCGTGGCTCACATTATTTTGTTCGATATAAAAAATGTTAATATAATAGAAAGTAGAGTTGATACAAAGAAAAAAGGTAAGCCAAACAAAAAATTGTAAAAA